AATGTTGGCTGTGGGTTTGTCATATACAGCCTTTATTATGTTGAGGTACTTGCCCTCTATACCCATTTTGTTGAGAGTTTTTATCATGAATGGATGTTGAATTTTGTCAAATGCTTTTTCAGCATTTATGGAGATGATCATGTGTTTTTGTCCTTCTTTTTGTTGATGTGGTGGATGATGTCGATGGATTTTCAAATGTTGTACCATCCTTGCATCCCTGGAATAAATCCTACTTGATCAGGATGGATGATCTTTTTGATGTATTTTTGAATTTTGTTTGCTGATACGCTAGTCCATTCTTGGAGTCTGTGAGTCTGCTGCTATTTTGTTCCTTCAGTTTTGCTTCGTTGTTATACTCCACAAATGAGGGAAATCATCTGCTATTTCTTTCTCCACCTGACTTATTTCACTGAGCGAAATAAGTCCCCTCTAGCTCGATCCATGTTGTTGCAAATGGTAGGATTTGTTTCTTTCTTATGGCTGAATAGTATTCCATTGTGTATATGTACCACATCTTCTTCATCTATTCATCTACTGATAGACACTTAGGTTGCTTCTGTATCTTGGCTATTGTAAATAGTGCTGCTGTAAACACAGGGGTGCATATGTCTTTTTGAATCTGAGAAATCATATTCTTTGGGTAAATTCCTAACAGTGGAATTCTGGGGTCAAATGGTATTTCTATTTTTAGTTTTTTGAGGAACCTCCATATTGTTTTCCACAATGGTTGAACTAGTTTATATTCCCACCAGCAGTGTAGGAAGGTTCTCCTTTCTCCGCATCCTTGCCAGCATTTGTTGTTCCTAGTCTTTTTGATGTTGACCATCCTATCTGGTGTGAGGTGATATCTCATTGTGGTTTTCATTCAAATGTTTTTTACTGAGATCCATAATGACAAACATTTTACATTATGACCCTGTGTAACTGAAACATCAGAAAACAGTAACAACTTACAACTGACATGCCCTTTTTACTTTAAAAACATAAAGAAAACTGTGTTGCACTGTTATGAATACCCAAGTAACTATCAGCTGGCTCAACAAATGTAGTGTTGGCAGCATCCTAGAAGACTCTCCCCATCCAGATGATCCTCTTCTAACATTGTTTGCTTTGCTCACCTATTACCACCTACTTATGTATCCCTAAACATTACAGCTTAATCTCCATTTGGACTTTATGATTGTAATCACAAGAATGCAACACGACTGTTTGTAGTTTTCTGCTTTCTTTGCTCAGAACTGTTTTGCAAGATCCATCCATGCTGTTGCTTGTAGCTGCAGGTCATTTTCATTGTTTTATATCCCCCTATGTATGTAAGTATACTACAATTTACTCATCCATTCTATTGCTCATGGACACTGGTGTTGTTTCATTTGGAGCCATTGAATTAAAAGGCTATAAACACTTGTGTCCAGGTCTCCTGCTGCACCTGGGCTCAAATCAGGGTCTCCATGGACAAGTGGAAATGCTGGGCCCTGGGTAAGCTGAACCTCAGTAGATACTGACAGTTTTCTGAAGTGGTTGAAGCAATAAACAAATTAAATATATAAATAAATAGACCAAGAAACGAAACAAACCAAAAAAGCAGTTGTACCAATCTATACTCCACTAAGCGGCTGATCAGGGTGACCCACATCTCACCCATTCTTTCTGTCAAATATATATTTGTGCATCTCACCTATACCCTCTCCAGTTTTTCTGGTGTTAAGATGGTATCCTACTGTGGCTTTAACTCTCATTTCCCTGATAACTGGTAAAATTAAACTCCTTTCCATGTTTGTCATTTACATTTCTTTTTTTAATAAAAAGACTGTTTATCTTTCACCCATTTTTTAACTAACCTTTTTCTTATTGATCCACATGATTTCCTTACATACTCTGGACAGCTGACTTTTGTCAACTCTGTTTTCTCCCACTCTGTACCTTTCATTTTGCTCCTTTCTATGAATTATTTAGTTGAACAACAAAAGTCCTCAACAAAATGTTAGCAAATCAAATCCAGCAATGTACATAAAGTAAAAAATATAACCAATGGGGATGATCTGAAAAATTTAAGATTACTTTAATATCAGAAAATCAATGTAACTTATCCAATAGATAAAAAGAGAAAATTCAAATAATCATCTCAATGTAAATAGGGCATTTGATAAAATTCTACTTTCTTCCACAATACCTATTTTTTAAATCTAGCAGAATAGTACTACAAGGGAACATTCCTAATCCGATAAAGGGTATTCTCCATGAATTTACACCACAAGCCATGGCCAGTGGTGCAGGCAAGAAGGCTTTCCCTCTGAAACCAGGAAGCTGTAAAGTAGCACACAACCACCTGGTGCTTTTGCCATCAGACCAGAGGGGCTATGGTAAGAGTGGAGGAGAAAAGGAGTAATGGCTGGAAAGGAAGAAAGAGAAGGTGCAGATTAGAAAAGGAGAAATAAACTGAGCATTATTTACAGATATCATAACTGTATATGTCAAAATTCCAAACCAATTCTAAACCAATCTACAGATAACTGGAGATAATAAAGTTGAGAAGGCAACTGAATACAAAATCAATTTGTTAAAATTGTATTTCTAACAATTTGCAAATGGAAATTTTAAAAGGGATAATAATGGCATCCAAAAATGAAGTACCTAGAAACAAATCTAATAAGGGGTGTAAGAGCTTTGTGGAAAAAACTGAAAAAGTTTGTGAGAGACTTATAAAAAGACTTATGCCTAGTAGACTGAAAGAGCAAATACTGCCAAGACACCAAGTCTCCCAAGCATACAAATCAAAACCTGCAAAGGCTTTTGGTAAGAACTCAACAAGCTAATTCTGAAATCCATTTGGAAATGCAAAGAACCAACTTGGGTATTTCCTCTCCATACTGGTTATTAGCCTCTAATGCGATTTCACAAGCACGAGTGGATGGCAGCCCACACTTCAATATACACTGAGCTAGTTCACACAATTCCCCTTCCCTCACTCCCTACTCCCCCACCCCCACCCCCACGCTTCAATGGCTCCCACTGCCCTTAGGATTAGGTCCACATTCCTCCCCAAAGCCTACATGACCTTGCCCTGCCTACTTTCCAGCCTCAATTCTTGCTACCATCCCCCTACTCTGCATATTTGGTGCTACCCCCACACTGAACTTACTACCCTTGAAAAGGCTCTGCTTTACCTCACCTCTAGGCCTCTGCCTGGAACTCAGCCACCTTTGCTTGGCCCTCTCCCCAGCTGCTTAAACCATTTCATTGAGTCATCCATCCACTGTCTTCAGTGGACTTCCTCCTTCCTTTATCATCCCATTGCTTTGGTCTAAAAATAACACTAGGGTGAGAATAACTGACATCATTGAGTACTGGCTCTTAAGACTTTCAGCGGCTTCAGAAGGAGATAGTGCTGTCCTATTCTCATTTTACAGATGAGAAAACTGAGACCCAGAGAGACCAGGACTAACTCAAAGTCCCACTGGAGCTAAAATCAAAACTAGGAGCACAACTGAGGTCTTCTATCACGTAAGCCTGACTGAAGATGCCATCTGCACAGGGTCTGAAGGTTGTTTTTCCAGAAGCTCTTCTGAGTAGGTCAAAGCAGAAGTGGAGCTGCGCTTGGAGTGTTGGGCCTTACCCAACTCCTTGAACCCAGAGGAATGTCAGTGAGCTCAGCACCCTAACAGACCAGCACATGCCCAGGGGCAACCAAAGTCAGACTTATCTGAGGCTCACAAAGTAACTGATACATCCCCCTCAGTGATGGCAGGGCAGCCTTAAAGAGCCAGGTATGAAGATGATGGCCTGTGCACACTCAGCTGCTGGCCCCTCATTCTACAGATATGAATCAGTATTTGACCCAGTGGGCCCGGTACTGTGCTAGGCACTGGGGATACTCTGGAGAACCCAAGAGAACCTCTACTCTCCTAAGCTAATCCTGGATGCAATCTGAGGGGGTGGTTAGTGCTCTGAAGGCAGATCTGCAGGCCCCATGAGTAACCAGAGAGGAGAAACTCCAGACGGTGTGGACAGCTACAGTCAGGTTATAAGGGGACCACTAAGTTAGGACCTGGATGAGAAACCTGTCACGTGAAAGGCCAGAAGTGTGACCCAGCCAGAGAAATCAGCAGAGCAAAAATCCCTTAGATGGGAAGAGCTTGTGGCTTGTCAGATCCTAGGAACTTTCACATGGGTTACCTCATTTCCACCTTGCCAGCAAAATGCCCTGCCACTGCTCTGTGGTGAAGGGATGTGGCCCTCAAGCAAGACCGTCCACCTCACTGCCAGCTCTCAGTACCTGGGCAGAAAGGGCACTCCAGTCCCTTGGCCGTGTGGCCTGAAACTGTGGGTGGTGCTAGAAGGAACCAAATGTTCCACAGGTGGGAAAACCGAGTCCCAGAAGGAACCTACTCAGCCACCCTGCATCCAGGGGACCGGTCTCTGAGAACGGTATCCCCTCCACCGCCTCGACCACTACTCTCTCACACGGGGCCCAGGACCCTGCGTCCTGTCACCTCCCGAGGTAGGCGGGACAAGAGTCATAACCCTCAGACCAAGGAGAAACCAGGGACCCCGAAACTTGAAGTGACACCACTGGACACAGCTGGTCCAAACTCCGCCGCACACACCGCGGCCTCAGAACCCCCCTAGAGCCCTCCGACCCCAAAGCACCCCGCCCCGCGACCACACAGCCTCCCGACCCCACAGTCCCCCAGCTCTGGAGCCTATCCCGCCCCCCGCCCCGCGGCCCTGGGTTTGGGAACCCAGATAGTCCGGCCCTGATTCCCAGAGCACCTCTCCCCCGCCCGGGCACGCCCGGCCTCTCTCCTAGCCCCACGGCGGCAGCGGAGAACCCTCCAAGGCGCAGGGAGGGGCCGCCCCACCGAGTAGCGCGCACAGCCCACGCAGCGCCAGGTGCAGACAGCGCGCGATCCGGCGCCACGCTTTCGCCACTGTTTCGGACTGCCGCCCGAGAAAAAGACATTGAACATGCGCTTTCCCCTGCCCACCACAGCTCCTACCGCAGCGACGCCTCCTGATGCTCAAGGCTGAGGCCAAAATATTTTCTAGATGCTCAAAAGGCTCGGAGGTATAGAGAATCTGCCGCGCCTCTCGTCGGAAGTAGGGCTGCCCCTTGCCGGAAGTTGCGCTTCCTCCATTTTGTTGCCCGCTATGGCGGCGATGCCGAGGTTGGGGTTGGGATGCGGCGCTTCTGACTGAGGGGGTAGGCCAGTCGGAGGCATCGGAAACATCGGCGCGGCTCAGAAGAGGACCAGCCTGGACGCCGGGGACGCTGTCATGTACGGCGCGGGCGGAGGCCGCGCCAAAACCGAGAGGAAAAGCGGCGCGAAGGAGGAGGCCGGGCCTGGCGGTGCCGGTGGTGGGGGGAACCGAGTGGAACTGCTGGTCTTCGGCTATGCCTGCAAGCTGTTCCGGGACGATGAGCGGGCCCTGGCCCAGGAACAGGGACAGCACCTCATCCCCTGGATGGGGGACCACAAGATCCTCATCGACAGGTCGGTTCCTCCCCCCACCCGTCGGTCCTCCCCTCCCCTCGCCCGCTTGATTTCGTCTGATGTTGACTTGATGGCCAGGACTTGAAAGGGGTTTTCTGGAGCCGGCGGGGACCCCTGTCCCCATACCCCTCCACTGGTTTTGGGGGGAGGGGGACGGTGAAACCTGCCTTAAGGCACTGGCTGGAGTTGTGTGCCGCGTCTGTCGCCGGAGGGATCGTCTCTGCTCCCGCAGCCCCTGGCGACCCCTCACCCCTGTCGCTGGGTTCCAGTTGGCCGCTCCGCGCGGTGGAAGTTGCCTGTTCCCTGGGCCTCTCCTGACTGGCGCTCTGGGGCCTGTCACCCGGCGCTCCCGCAACGCGGTGTAGTGGGAGGGCAACCCGAAACGCCGCACCCAGAGGCCGCGGCTACAAAACCTCTCGGACCCCGTGAGTTAGCCTTGAACCTCTTATGCCCCCAGCGCCCTTCTTTGTGGAGCGCCTGTATTGGCTGGCATGACGTTTGACTCCCCCAGTCTACTCCTCCCCTAACCCAAGTTTGACATTCGGGGCGAGGGTGAAATTGCCAATCAATTGGAGGCCAGTTGACCGTGCAGACACTGGCTTTGCGCTTAGAGGTAGTGTTCTTAGGGCCGGTTTCACTGTCTCTTAAAACTGAAGGGAGGAACTGGGGTACAGATGTGTTTCTTTTCAAATCAAACCTGCTTTAGGTAATTTAGGGAGGGTATTTAGCCATTTTATGCAGAGGGGTCCTGGGGTTGGGAATATCTAAGGAGGTTTGATTGGAAAAGGATGACATTACATGATGTAGGTTGTTTGCTCCCCTCCCCTCACTTCAGCCCCCTTTTCCTTCTCTTTCCTCCTCGGGGTTTTTGTTTGTTGTTGTTGTTGTTGCTTTTTTTTTTTTTGGCCGATTGGGCAGCTCTACTTCTGGGGCCCGGACTGAAAAGCTAACTGTGACCAACTATTAACCCGTGGAATAGTCTCTCCGAGTGAAGGAAGCCCATCGTTTGAGACAATTTAAACTGGATTCTGCAAAGCCCTGGAACTTGACTGTAGGGAGTACCTCTGAGCTGGCCAGAATGGACACGTTAATGACTAAATAGGCCTTTTTCCATCCCTGACGTTTCCGTTTGGAGTTAGTTCTAGACACAAGGACTCATGAATGGAGGGTCGCCAGATCAGGTCTGGACCTGACCCTCCCACACGTTGCTCATACATGCTGTGCCTTTAAACCGTGGTTACTATTGAATGATACTGCCTGGGGTGTCAGGCAGCTTGCTTTCCCAAAGTATTACTCAACGGTTATTATTAAAGTTTGGTAAGCAATGAAGTCTGAGCTCTTTATACAATTTTCCATAGCAATCTGTACATGATTTAGTGAGATTTTCCAAAACTAGCGGGGAGCAAACGCTACACATGTGCATGTATAATATTTTTTAAATAATGATCTACATTTGTAAGTTAAGGAGGTTTACATCAAAGTAAAAATAATTTTGGAGTTTAATAAAATGCAATAACTTGGCTACCCTGGAATTTTTGGCCTTTTTCTTGTAAATGTCTTTTTTTACATACATATTTTTTTGGTTGTCATTACAAAAGTCAGCATTAAAAAGTTAGTCAGACTTTTGTCCTTGCACATTTGTTTTTCAACGCTAAATCTGAGTATTTTAAGTAAAATTCATTAGCTCACTCTATTAGCTGACAGTTGCATGTTGACTATCTTCATTGAATCTTTTATGTTAAAAACATAGTAGGTACTCTTAATTTGGCTGAAGTACCCATTGGTCCATGCAAGTAAACATGGATGTGTTTTCACGTATGTTATCTCCTGGGGGTGTAAAGTTTAGAAGAAGATATTTATACTACATCTAATAGTTTTGCTCTGTTTCTAGTGAACCTCCTTAAACTGCATGTATATGTCATTGTTCCTATGTATGTGTGTCTCTCTATCACATAACCAGCACTTATTTCCTCAGCCAAGTGGCTAGGGGGCGAGCCTAGCCAAGATTTTACCTCCAATGGACGCAAGTTTCTTTGGTGAAGATCTCTCCTGAGAGTTCGGGACTAGCAGAAAGAAGCGAGGAAATTTCGACCGTTTGGTTCTTACGGATAGGTATTTATGTATTTGGTTTGTGTGAATGTAAGCTATGATATTTGACTTTTCAGAAAAAATTTTGCAAGTGGCCTTGAATGGTTGACCAAAACCACAAGGGTAAGAACTGCAAGTGAGGTGGATACAATTTTTGCTGTTAAAGGATTGTTAACCTTTAATTGTAAGTTTTATCATATTGTAGAAAAGAAATTAAACTTTGTTAAAATAACTGCAGTTTAAAAGTAGGTGAGATATGACTAGCCAAATTAAATATAAATCTGAGAAGAGTTCTAATGTTTGTTTTAGTATTTCTAGTTCTTTGTATTAGTGGGTAAGTATGTATATAAAACATCACACACAAACCAATCTAGATGTTAATTTTTTTCCATTGACCAGTGTGTTCATATTACAGATATGATGGGCGCGGTCACCTGCATGACCTTTCTGAGTACGATGCTGAGTATTCCACGTGGAACAGAGATTACCAGCTCTCTGAAGAGGAGGCACGAATAGATGCCCTGTGTGATGAGGAGAGGTATTTAGCCTTGCATACGGACTTGCTTGAGGAGGAGGCAAGGCAAGGTACTGCTCAAGAAAAACTTATTTAAGCAGCAAACTTTAAAATTTTTTTAAGTATTTAAAAATTTACTCCCATTCATTTTTTTATACTCACTCTTTCTGATATTATCTTGACAGTACCCAGTGGATTGGAAAAACAGGAGTCTTTGCGTTCTGAGAGGACCTCAGGATAGTTTATATGTAGAGCCACAAAGAATTTTCCCAGCTTTTGAGGGCAGACTGGGATTTGAAAAAACAAAAACCAAACTCTTTAACTGTTCTTCTTTAACAGTATCGTATAAACTAAAATTGATGTTCTTGTCTTTGCCTTAACAATCTTTAATACAGTTCTTAATCCCCAAATTTCTCAGCAGGAAGAATTTCCCACAAAAGATGTGTATTCTGCTGTCTGTGGTAAAAATGTACTGGCAAAAGTACATATTAATAGATGTGAAGTGTGAATTTTTAAAAACATTTTTGCCTCAAAGAGGTTGAAAAAGTGTATGTTTTTCTGATAACTACAACTTTAGAAATATATAAGGTTTTTCTCAGTAAATTTCCATTTTTGTTAATAAAATTCTCATTTTTATTCAAGAGGAAGAATACAAGCGATTGAGTGAAGCACTGGCAGAGGATGGGACCTATAATGCAGTGGGATTCACTTACGGCAGCGATTATTATGACCCGTCAGAACCGACGGAGGAAGAGGAGCCTTCTAAACAACGAGGTAAGAAGAAGGCTGCCTAAGGTGATTTGGACAGTGTGCCGTGCGTCCTGCAGGGTGAAGACCAGCACACAATCAAGGACGGAGTAATTATAGCATCACCGCCAAACAGTCGTGGTCCTTAGGGTAAGACATAGCTAGAAACTAGAAGTAAAGTGTTAGTGGAGATGGAAAGTGAATTCAGACTTTCCTTATCTGCACTGAACTGAGTTGCCTCTTCACTTACTTCTCTTTGCTTCTGATAACAGGAAATTATTCCAGGTTCCTTATTCTAGCTTGATAACATGTTGGTATCCACAGTGATCTGTTTTTGGGCATTAAAGGATAGGCGTTAATTACCTTCATGCTGACCTGCTTCTTCATGTCCTCTGAACATCCATCCAGTGGAAGGACACCTGTGGAGACAGTTACTACTAGCTGGAAACCAGCACAGGACATCCTGGTTAGGCTTGAGTTGGTAGGACCTAGGACATACAGTTAACCGCAGTGTTTTAAATAGTATTTACATAAAATTAAGATTTTAAATCTATGTTTTTCTGGACCAACTCTGGGAACTTAAATGTAAAAACTAGTGCTACTAAAAAATATGGGCTTATGTAGTACAGGAACAAATGTCTGGAGTCACTTCGGTAAGCCCTGAGAGCATCATTATTACAACCTTGCATAATGATCAGTTATTAATTACCAATAATGATAACATGAACCTGAAACATTAAGAATGGATTGCTATATTCAGGACATTCCATTTAAAGGTGAGAATTTTAACTTTGGGAGTCCATTCAAATGTTTAGAATAATGAACTGTAAGTACATCATATAGGATTTAATTTTAGAGCTAACTGAATCTGTCACTTGGGGCTTAACTGGTTTCTCCTTCAGTAATAAACTATTAACGAGTGTGAAGTAATTATGGGAGTTCAAATGTCAAAACAAAACACTGTATGCTGTGCATGGTGCAGCTGCATTGATGTCCTCCTGTCCCCTCCACCCAGGGGCAGCACCTTAGTAGAACCACTGGTTGTAGGCAGACTTGTACAGAATCTTCCTTTGTTGCCGGTCCTTTGGTCCTATTGATTACCTGGGGGCAAAATAATCACTGTTGCACAGCTCTGATCTGGTGCCTCTAGAGAGACTTTTCGACTGTAATTTCAATTGTGTTGAGTTAAAACCTTGTTAGAGCATTTAACATCTTTGCACTGACCTTCAGACCTACTCATACCTCAGAAATTAGAGTGCACTGGAAATATTCTTGCAGGAAGAATTAAATGCTCATTCCTTTACCCAAAATAAGTATCCCTATTGGGATTCCAGATAGTTAAGATTTTTTATCTTATTTCTGAACCACATACCTTGTATCTGCCTTAAGTACATGACAGTTTTAACCAGAAGAAAGGACTACCTGCTCAGTCACTATTTCACAAGTGAAGAATTGAGATTTATGAAAGTCAAATGTCTTCTACTATATACAGAGGCAATCTTTGGAAAACTGTAATATTAATTTCTTAACATTCTAGATTAGGGATCAACAACTACCACTAAAGTTCCAGTTGGCAGGTTTTTGTAAAGTTTTATTGGAACATAGCCACACTCATTTGTTTACGTGTTTTCTGTGTGGCTTTGCCTTTCAGCAGCAATTGAGTAGTTGAGATAGAGACTAGCCCGAAGAGCTGAAATATTTACCACCAACCAGCATTTTATAAAAAGGGGTTACCAACCCCTGTTCTGGGTTCAGGACTGTTGTCTCAGTGTAATCATTGGGCTAAATGATACTAAACTTTGTTTGAATTATTGAATTTTAAGAACTTCAGTGTGGCTGTTTCTCTTCCAGTTTTAGTATGTTTTCTCTTTAACAAAGTTGTTTTTAGTATTTTACAAATGTTTTTCATTCTGTAATCACATTCTCAGGACTTGGCTTTATATGCTGATTAATTTTTTTAATGGAAGTTGGGCCCATATGAAACTTACAGCTTGAATTTTTATGTTTTTAACATTAATATAAATAAAATGCTCTGTATATAATAAATAAAATACCACACACACGTGTATCTTTATATATATACACATACTTAAAAGAATTCGATTTGGGTACCCAATATCATTAACGACCAAATTTTATTTTAGCATAGCATTATTTTAAAATCAAAAATACAATAATTTTTTGGTTTGTTTTCTGGAGCCTTCAACATACCTAAATATTCCTTGACTTTCAAAATTACTATATTATCCTGGCAGTTGTGAATATTTAAAACCTTGTGATATTAACCAGAAGTGTTCTGATGGCACTTTTATTTTGTGTAATTTCATCCTTTCTTCCTTTTTGCATTACTATTTTCAGCCTGATTTCTCTCCTTCAGATTTTCATAATTTTTCATCATTATTATGTATTCACTTTTTGGGAATAGATGATTTGAATTTTTTTGAATCTGAGTTAGTATTGCAGCCATTGGTTTTTATTCTGTGGTAATTAAGTCACTTTCCATAAATAAAGATGTATAAGGATAGAACACATCTGTGTGACCCCCACTTTCCAAATGGCTCTTTGCAGTGCCTTTATTTTGTGAGCAACTTAATAAGGGAAGGCTATTTAAACAAAGTTTCCATCACTTTTTCATTTTAGGGAGTTACTGTAAAAGTTATACTTCTGTATACACCTTTGGCCTCATTCCCAAAGAGGTTTTGACATTTTGTTACTCTGCATCTTGCAAACCAGTTTCCAGTATCTGCTGGTTCCACTGTGTCATTTGGTTACTGGAGCTAGACAGTGTGCTTGTTGATTACAGGGAGTTTTCAGGCTGTAGTAAATCTCTGGTTCTTAGAAGAAAAGGAGGTGGCTCTGCAGAAATGGTGGGACAGTGTTACATAATTCTTACCTAATGAAATTTATAATCATCTTGCATCTCATCAGACTAGAACACCCGGGTTTTTACATACAGTGAGACCTTAAAATTCCCCTTTGGCTTTGTAAACGAATTAGGTCTGATAAGAGACCTTTGAAATCCTTTCAAGAAGCTTTATCATATATAATTTGTTTTGATGAAGATTTGTTTATTTAATGTCATTTTTGAAAGAAATACCTATGTAGATGTTGAAATCCTTAAAAATGTTAGCTTTTCAATATGGAGGTTCCTCAAAAAACTAAAAATAGAAATGCCATAGTAATTCCACTCCAAGGAATTTACCCAAAGAAAAGATCCCTGATTCAAAAAGACATATGTACTGCTATGTTTATCGCAGCATTATTTATAATATCCAAGATATGAAAACAACCTAAGTGTCCATCAGTAGATGAATGGATAAAGAAGATGTGGTATATATACACAATGGGATATTATTCAGGCATAAAAATAAAACAAATCCTACCATTTGCAACAACATGGATGGAGCTAGAGGGTATTATGCTCAGTAAAATAAGCCAGGCGGAGAAAGACAAGTACAAATGATTTCACTCATTTACAAAGTAGAACAACAAAGCAAAACTGAAGGAACAAAACAGTAACAAACTCAGACTCCAAGAAGGGACTAAAGGTTACCAAAGGGAAGGGGTTAGGAAGGTTAGGTGGAGAGGGAGGGAGAACGGGATTAAGGGGCACTATAATTAGCACTCACAATGTAGGTAGGGCACGGGGAAGGCAGTATAGCACAAAGACAAGTAATGACTGTAGCATCTTACTACACTGATGGACAGTGATTGCAATGGAGTGGGGGTTGGGGGCTTGATAATATGGGTGAATGTTGAAACCTCAGTGTTGCTCATGTGAAGCCTTCATCATAAGATTGTATTATCAATGATACCTTAACTTAAAACAAAGTTAGCTTCTATGTTTTCTACTCAATTTTTGTACATTTCACTGTATCCTTATATACTGGTGAGTATTTGAGTGAGATATACGTAAGTACCGTATAATTCAGAAAGTTGTGCCTTGTCTAACATGTAGTAGACAGAAGTTTGTTAAATGAACTGTTAATGAACATGTAAAAATGGAAAAAATACATGGTTATTTGTGAAGGAGGTATTTTGCTTGATGGGTGAAGTCTTGGCAGTTATGTTCAGGGGCTTTCCAGTTCCACGGGGAAATAGTCCCCTGGGAATCGAGTGCCTTGTGCTGTGACTGACACGTGCAGACCCACAGGAGAAGTTTGGAGGGAGGTCTGAGCAGTACCAGGTGCACCATGCACAGAGAGAGAGAGGATAGTACTGAACATGCTGAGTGCTGCCGAGTACAGAGCCCTGCAGGGGACACACGCTTGCCCTCGCTGTCCTGCTGAAACTGCACATGTCTTGGAGCAGATGCTGCCCCTGGTGCATTTGTTTGCAGGAGGAAACAGCCGGGAGCCAGCGTCTCCGCTGCTGTGATGGCCTCGTCCACGCCCCTCTGCTGCATCACACACCTCTTTGGGTTTACTAAAGTGATTTTGCTTACACATGGCGGTGTGAAACAGAAAACTGGAAAGTGTTTCTAGAAGTAATGACAGATCACAAGCCGGGGGGACAGTCACTGCCTTCCCCTCCATTGCTTACTACGGTTGGCAGGCACCCCTTTCTGGTCATTATTCTGAAGGTGTGTGTTTTTTCTTGTACAGAAAAAAATGAGGCCGAAAACATAGAGGAAAATGAGGAGCCTTTCATAGCCCCTTTGGGGCTGAACGTGCCGCCTGACGTGGAGCTGGTACGTGTTCCCACCTCACAGGACTGTCACCTATCCTTACTGTGTACACAAGGCACTGTCCTAATCATAGCTGCTTCATGGGGAGATAATGCTGTAGAGTGAGTTAATGGGGGAGAAACCACATCCCGCCTGTTTCCCTCTAAAGAAAAAGGGAGGAATTATAGCAAAATCAATAGAACAGAGAATCAGGGACTTGAGGAGCTGGCTGTGTCAAGAGATCAGATGGTAGAATCCCCAGGTTTTAACAGCATGGAAAAACCAAGCCAGAATTAGTGGTGTGTAGACTCAGCCACATTTAAACATCAAAACAGTGCCCAAGGCAGCATGGCTTTCTGTGAAGTTGCTTTGTTCTGGCTTTTTCTCAGCTGGATTTTGAGGGCACTTAAGATACGTCTTTCCCTATATGTGTCTCCCTGGCACTCTTCCACCCAGCTCTCCTCTTCCTCGTGGTGAGGGCCCTGTGACATCTCCAGGCTGCCCTGGTACTCACAAGGAAAACTTGGTTGGCATTCCTCTTGGCCTGAGCGCTGTGCTGCACTATAGCTACTGGTAGAGCTGAGTGTCCAGTTCACAGTGCTCTCACCCTCGTATTCCAGCCATATCCTGGCATCATTGCAAGCTTTCTACATTCCAGGCGCTGTGCCAGCTGCTTTGTATGTATTTTCTCATTTAAAGCTAATGACCTCAAGAGATAGCTATTGTTATGTTCCCCTTTCACAGTTGAAGAAAAAGTGAACAGTCTGGCTAGTTACATAGAAGGCATGGTCATAAGTATTGTGCCATGGTGAGTTCCCATACTTTATGGGATTTTATGATTATTCGGGATGTTTAAAATCTCTGTCCCGTGAACATACTTGGGAGGGATATCCGTGCTCAGCATGATACACTCTTTAGTGTCTCCAAGCCTTCTGCAAGTGCCATGGACACAGGCACTCTAGATTATTGCTGTGTCCTGCGTCCTAAATCTCGGGTATACAGTAGATGGTGAAAACTGCTCAAAGGAAGAGTCTTGTATCCTCTGCACTGTTGGCTGCTACCATCCTGGCTCAGCTCAGCAGGCGTGTGATGGTTCTTGCCCTTGGTTTTCACACAATGACTGGAGATATCAAAATAGACCTTTTAATTCCTGCCTCCACCCTCCTTTCTTCACTTATCATTTACATAGCCTCTCATCCTCTTTCTTTTTTTTCCTTAAACATCAGAATAAGTATTTCTTAGAATCTTGCTGAGTGAAATCACTGTTTAGGTTTGCTCTCCCTGTTTCCACCATTGATCAACGTGATATAGTTAAAGGTGAAAATGTTATCTGAAGATCTGATATCCTCAAACTACATTAATAACATCGTTGTGCATTGTTACATATTTTGTTCTGGTATATGTAACTAATTCTACATGAGAAGCCCGTTAAAATGGGTTATTCCCTTACATATATTTCAAATAATGCTTTTTAAGGTTGACTATATGGGATTTTATTTTTGATTTGAAAGACTTTTTAAACTTTTATGCAAATACAGAAGTACAATAGGCCCTATTGTCTTGTTTCATTCCTATAAAGCATTCAATGGCTCTATAGGTTCCGCCAGAATAAGCCCCACTGAGCTGTTCAGTGGTCTGCCAGAGTTAAGCCTGCTGCTGCCCATTCGAGAACAAGATAAGCCTTAGTGTTAGTGATTTGCTCCTTGATATTAAAAGGGTTTCTTCTGGCATAATTATAAAATAATCTCCTGAGAAGGAAATTGTTCTGATTGCATGGAAACTGCAGTCAAGCACTGACTTGGTTGCTGGTGTATAGCTTCTTTCCTTACGACAGTGTTGGCATTTCGCATGAGAGTCTTGTTTTGGTGACCAGAGGCTGAAACGGTTGGCCTGTGTTTGGCCGCTGCTGCCTTGGTAGGCAGGGGCTGCTCACCCTCACCCCCAGCAGGTGTGGGTGCTTGGTAAAGGAAACAGGCCCTTCTGGCTGGTCTCAGCTTCTAAACCAAGCTTTTAGGTGAGAGTCTGGTGACTGCAGTTTCTGAGGTTGGTACAAAGAGTTAAGTAGTAGTTGGGAATTTTCACAGGCACTCTGGGAGGCGTGTGTTGGTGCCGCGGCCAGTGCTGCCATCCTCAGTGAGCCCCTTACAACCCCTGGGCCTGTCCACTGGGTCTCTAGACTCCAGCCCTGGAGGAGGCCTCAGCTCTGCTGTAGCTTTTCGCAGTGACTCCATGTACATATTCTTATGTTTCAAGGGAATAAGGAATTGTTTTTCCACAAAAATGTAGCCCAGCATTGTTTGTCCCAACTGTGTTTTCGATCATCTGTCCCTTTTCCAGGGACCTGAACGACCATCCATGTCACCTCCTAAGTTCTGCACACACCTGGCCTCTTTCTGGGGGTGCTCTGCTCTGCCCCTACTTGTGTTGTCTTGTGTTGGTGCCCCCCCACACACGCACTTGGCATGCACCAGAGCACTGCTAGAAGGTAGAGAGTCATTCAGCTACTGAGAGGCTGCAGATGGTACTGATTGAGTTCCCAGCTCAAGCGATGTCTGCTTGTGTCCTGTCTCAGGTGCCCAGGGTCTCATGGGCCCACCTGATCTGCGACACCAGAAGGAAGTACACAGCTCGGACAGGCATTTCTAATGGAAATGTGCTTGTTCAAACACATTGTATGAAAAGAAGGTAAAGGGAAGGTTGCAGGATGTTCTTGCTACCCTGTACCTTTCTGTTTGTGGATCAGTAACGGCACCTCCTAATAACCGTTCTACTGGGAACTACATTCCCTTAGCCTGCACTGTAATGCTAGTGCTGCTGTGAGGGAGACTCCTTGGTTTCCGGTTTCCAGCTGAGAGGTGCTGTGTGCACAGAAGTTAAGAGCAGCTGCTCTTGAGTCGGGTATTTGAGGTCAGGCCCACAGTTCCAGAGCTCTAAGCTACAAGAATTAAGCTGTATTGTATCTCATTCAGATTAGAGTAGTATTGTCCCATAATTTGGGTGCTTTGTTGCCACAGATAGGGGTGGGGAGAAAAAAAAGAAGTGTGATTTACTCTTTCATTCCTATGGAGCTCTTGCCTTTTCTTTGGAATTCCTAAGGGCTTTCCAGATATGAGTGTTAACCGTGGCCCAGTATGTGGTGTGCATGTCTGCTCTCCAAGCACTTTGTCTTCACTCTATCCATCTCTCTCTCCTTAAATACATGCAGAACTTAAATACATGTATGAAATCATACATGTCACCATAGCCCTCTATGGCTTTAAGATTTTCAACCATTCCCACCCCTAAGACTTTTTTAAGTGTTTTCCTATATTTTATGCTATTACTTCTACAATTTTGTGTTTACAACTGAATTGTTACTTTATCTCTTAATCTGATATTTACTTGGGGTTCTGAGTACAGTAGTACTGAATTTTTCCTCCCTTATCATAAAGAAGGAAGCTCCTGGGGTCCTTCGTTTATTTATCCTGCCTTCCATCCCATGCAGCCCATCCACCCAACCCCTTAGGAATCCGAGCTCTAGCATTTTCCAAAGGTCTTAGGAAATCTTTTACTAGTGTGGGTTTCTTGACCTCTCATGCTTTTCTCCTATTCCCTTACATATATTTCAAATAATGCTTTTTAAGGTTGACTATATGGGATTTTATTTTTGATTTGAAAGACTTTTTAAACTTTTATGCAAATACAGAAGTACAATAGGCCCTATTGTCTTGTTTCATTCCTATAAAGCATTCAATGGCTCTATAGGTTCCGCCAGAATAAGCCCCACTGAGCTGTTCAGTGGTCTGCCAGAGTTAAGCCTGCTGCTGCCCATTCGAGAACAAGATAAGCCTTAGTGTTAGTGATTTGCTCCTTGATATTAAAAGGGTTTCTTCTGGCATAATTATAAAATAATCTCCTGAGAAGGAAATTGTTCTGATTGCATGGAAACTGCAGTCAAGCACTGACTTGGTTGCTGGTGTATAGCTTCTTTCCTTACGACAGTGTTGGCATTTCGCATGAGAGTCTTGTTTTGGTGACCAGAGGCTGAAACGGTTGGCCTGTGTTTGGCCGCTGCTGCCTTGGTAGGCAGGGGCTGCTCACCCTCACCCCCAGCAGGTGTGGGTGCTTGGTAAAGGAAACAGGCCCTTCTGGCTGGTCTCAGCTTCTAAACCAAGCTTTTAGGTGAGAGTCTGGTGACTGCAGTTTCTGAGGTTGGTACAAAGAGTTAAGTAGTAGTTGGGAATTTTCACAGGCACTCTGGGAGGCGTGTGTTGGTGCCGCGGCCAGTGCTGCCATCCTCAGTGAGCCCCTTACAACCCCTGGGCCTGTCCACTGGGTCTCTAGACTCCAGCCCTGGAGGAGGCCTCAGCTCTGCTGTAGCTTTTCGCAGTGACTCCATGTACATATTCTTATGTTTCAAGGGAATAAGGAATTGTTTTTCCACAAAAATGTAGCCCAGCATTGTTTGTCCCAACTGTGTTTTCGATCATCTGTCCCTTTTCCAGGGACCTGAACGACCATCCATGTCACCTCCTAAGTTCTGCACACACCTGGCCTCTTTCTGGGGGTGCTCTGCTCTGCCCCTACTTGTGTTGTCTTGTGTTGGTGCCCCCCCACACACGCACTTGGCATGCACCAGAGCACTGCTAGAAGGTAGAGAGTCATTCAGCTACTGAGAGGCTGCAGATGGTACTGATTGAGTTCCCAGCTCAAGCGATGTCTGCTTGTGTCCTGTCTCAGGTGCCCAGGGTCTCATGGGCCCACCTGATCTGCGACACCAGAAGGAAGTACACAGCTCGGACAGGCATTTCTAATGGAAATGTGCTTGTTCAAACACATTGTATGAAAAGAAGGTAAAGGGAAGGTTGCAGGATGTTCTTGCTACCCTGTACCTTTCTGTTTGTGGATCAGTAACGGCACCTCCTAATAACCGTTCTACTGGGAACTACATTCCCTTAGCCTGCACTGTAATGCTAGTGCTGCTGTGAGGGAGACTCCTTGGTTTCCGGTTTCCAGCTGAGAGGTGCTGTGTGCACAGAAGTTAAGAGCAGCTGCTCTTGAGTCGGGTATTTGAGGTCAGGCCCACAGTTCCAGAGCTCTAAGCTACAAGAATTAAGCTGTATTGTATCTCATTCAGATTAGAGTAGTATTGTCCCATAATTTGGGTGCTTTGTTGCCACAGATAGGGGTGGGGAGAAAAAAAAGAAGTGTGATTTACTCTTTCATTCCTATGGAGCTCTTGCCTTTTCTTTGGAATTCCTAAGGGCTTTCCAGATATGAGTGTTAACCGTGGCCCAGTATGTGGTGTGCATGTCTGCTCTCCAAGCACTTTGTCTTCACTCTATCCATCTCTCTCTCCTTAAATACATGCAGAACTTAAATACATGTATGAAATCATACATGTCACCATAGCCCTCTATGGCTTTAAGATTTTCAACCATTCCCACCCCTAAGACTTTTTTAAGTGTTTTCCTATATTTTATGCTATTACTTCTACAATTTTGTGTTTACAACTGAATTGTTACTTTATCTCTTAATCTGATATTTACTTGGGGTTCTGAGTACAGTAGTACTGAATTTTTCCTCCCTTATCATAAAGAAGGAAGCTCCTGGGGTCCTTCGTTTATTTATCCTGCCTTCCATCCCATGCAGCCCATCCACCCAACCCCTTAGGAATCCGAGCTCTAGCATTTTCCAAAGGTCTTAGGAAATCTTTTACTAGTGTGGGTTTCTTGACCTCTCATGCTTTTCTCCTATTCCCTGACACCTGCTATGGAGTTTTTAGAGCCATGTTAATAGAATTTTGGAGAAGTTAGTCTGCCTCCTTGGGCTCAGTCACTTTCTAAGGCTTCCCATGGGATTTAAGTTAGAAGAGCATTTCCCCTTAGTTTTTGTAATGCATTCATAGTTACATGCTGGCATATCCTTAAAATCTCATTTTATAGTAGGAATAATCATATTCTGAAACGGAAGAGGACTTAGCTAAAACTTGCATGCTAGAGAGCAGACTGTTTGCAGACCAGGCATCTGTGCCTCGCCTCCACTTGCCATGGTAGCAGATCACACAGCATGTTCATATGGTGATTTGTGAAGTTCCCTGTACATTGTTCTTTAACCATGATAGCCATAATGTTACATCATAAATGGGCCTACTCTTAAGATATTTTAGACTGACAGCTTGGTTTGGTCAACAGAGATCACCTCCACTGGAGGGAATCATAGTTTCCTTGCAGGGTCAGTACTCTTAAGTGATTGTTTAATAATTGACATGTACATGGAATATACTATTCCAAAAATTAGTCTTCCTGTTTAGCCAAAGCCAATGGAAATCTAGATTAGGATCTGTATTTCAATGCACAATGGTCCTTTAATGTAGAATCTAGTTTGGGGAATTAGTAAATAACCTTAATTATAGGGAATCCTATATTTCAGTGTGAAGAACATTATTAATTCAGGAATTAAATTTGGGAATTAAGGCATATATGTTTTATGCAGGATGTGGCCCTGAAATTACAGTAAGCATCTTAAATGTTTAACTGCCCATTTTAATGAGAATAATTTCTCATTTTATTTGCATGTAATTTCCAAGGGTTAATCTCTTCATTGATATTAAAGTAGGTTAGATGTGTGGCTTCCAACTTTGGGTCTAACAAATCCCACATGTGGATAGGAAATGCTAAGCATGTGACCTGACGGAAGACCCAGCCCCATTTGCAAGAAAGAGGCAGGCTTTGATTCCTTGTGGTGACCTATGACCTCGCTGTAAGGCACCAAGATGGCTCCCCCAGTAAATGTAGGGGAGACCTTCCCTATTTGACCAGAGCACACCAAGATGGGCTTCCGTTTGGGAGTCTTCTGTAAGTGGAAATGTCAATGAACTGAAGCCCCAAGCCATGTCTTATACTGGGACCAGGAAGGAGGAACATGGTGAGGAAGGTTTAGGTACAGAAGGAAAGATGGGTGATTGTGTGGCTTTCTTCACATGTTCAGAAGGGCTGTTTTCCAAGTTATAAAAACTAGTCCCAGCTAAGAAGAAAAGAGGGGCGATTCATAGATCCTTGAGAAACTTGCTGAAATATATTTTCCTCTCTCTAGAAAAATGCAAAATTCACATACACCTTCTAAGGATTCACATCTCCCCGGACCTCACTGTAGAATCCAGGTTAAAGACCTCTGTTATGTTGGAAGTATGTTGATTTGGTGCAAAAAAAATACTGCCTCCCATCAGTTCTGTACAGAGCTGGAGTGGCTTGCCTCCACAGGTGCAAAATTCAGAAGTAGACTGGGTGCCACATAACCAGGGGCAGCGTGAGTCAGTTCAAACTGGGCTCTTTCCAATTGCAGTGTCTTGTCTCTTATCATAATTGACAATAGAACCAGGGTTATTTTTGTTTTAAGTCATGCGGACAGTGGAAAAGGGGAAAACTTGCTAAACAAATGTGTGTTTTCTCATAGCCACCAACAGCCAAAATGCATGCTATCATTGAGCGCACAGCCAACTTCGTGTGCAAACAGGGAGCACAGTTTGAAATAATGCTGAAAGCCAAGCAGGCCCGGAATTCTCAATTCGACTTTCTACGTTTTGATCACTACCTCAATCCCTACTACAAATTCATCCAGAAAGCTATGAAAGAGGGACGCTATACAGTGCTGGCAGAGAACAAAAATGAAGAGAAAAAGAGTATGTGAGAGTGTTTTTGCCCTGTGTAGACTCTGGCCTGTGTTGCAGGTGGGAGGGGAGGGAAGGGCCACCTCTGGGAAAGTATATAGATAGTCAGTCTTACAGATGCAGAAACTCCCATACATCTGCCAAGTCCTGCCACTAGCGTGCCATTAAACCTACTGGTGCACCTAGAGAGCACAAAACTTTTCTTGATAAGTCTTGGAAATAGATTCTTAATACTTTTATAGATAGGTGAAATACAGTTGAATATTGATGCTATCAGAACATGGTCATCTATGTTGGAAATTTTTCCTCTCATTTTGGTCCTTATCATTTCACAAAGCAAATAGTGATTCATGCCTCACAGAGCAGTCTAGCAGTACACATGCACTGCAGTGCCTAGGCCTGGATTAAATTATACTCATCCACATAAATGGAATGGCTGACTTTACTTTTTTTTTTACTTATCTGTGCCTTCTATTGTTTTTATAACAATATCTAACTTGTAATTCTTAACTCCAAAGACCAGTTAGTATTTTGAAAAACATTCAGAGACAGCAGTCTCTCTAGACACATACATCTGCCATGAAATTTTCTCTTCACCTGCAACATGATTTTCTCAGAAACAGTTGTATAAATCTTATTACAGGTCTCATCTTCTCCATGTTTGTTTTTACAGTTTTTTAAAAATAATCTGTTGCTTCATTTTACCTTTCATAAATCAGTAAGATACTACCTTTTTTCTAAAACATTAAAATATACAGTGGCTCCAGACTAGTAAACACTAGAGGGAAGTTGCCAGCCAGGCCATGGTCATGCTCCTTTATGTCCACCTGGCTTTCTATTAAGCAACTTTGGTGGCAACACTACAAGGAATATTTTCCAAAGATGTTTTTTGGATAGATAACCAAGAAGTGACTACATACAGCTCTGCCTTTGTCTGCTAGGTTCTCACATAACTTATTTGTATGTCGTCTCTCACCGTACACCAGAAATTTGAAATGCACTTTTGCTTTCAGAGTCAGGGGTCAGCTCTGACAATGAAGATGATGATGATGAGGAAGATGGGAATTATCTGCACCCATCTCTCTTTGCTTCCAGAAAGTGTGACCGCCTGGAAGAACTGATGAAGGTTTTATCTTCTTGTTGATCTGTATTTTCTATGCCGTAACAAGACTCATAAAGGAAGCATTTCTGTTTTATCTTATCATCCGGGTATATTTTGCATATTTTTTTTTTTGCTTGGTGCAAAGGATTTGCCTCCTTTATATCTTACATATCCCATTTTATAAAATTCACAAGCATATTACTTCCATTTTACAATTTTACTGTTTGGGATATTTAGAATAAGTGGGATATTGGCTAAGACTGGAAGAGTGTTCTTGTCATGCCAATTTTATCATAATCAGGTTGGATTTTATAAGAGTACAGAAATTGCTGCCCCCTAAAAGCATATGTGTCTGTCTTCTGAGCCTCTCCTCTTCCTTCTGTAGGGGAGTCACTCAGTATCGTGTGGTTCATCCACACCACTCCTGCTGTCTGTGATACAAAAGCAGAAGTTTGTTAGACTCGCACTCAGGGTGTGGCTGATCCCTGAAGGGAGTGAATGTTGATTGGTTGGACTTAGAAGCTATTACAGATTGAAAATCGGAAGTTGCTCTAAGGAAGGACAAAGTTCAAGTTGCTCGTGAACTTGAATTCTCACACTGTTCTCAGTCACAGACTTGTCCTGCCCACCCTCCTTCCGTTACTTGTCGTTATTAGGAAGATCAAAGCCATCAATACGCTCAGTCCTCTGGATGACAGACCAGCCAGAGCACTAGGCCACAATCAGTCAGCACCTCCCTGTGTGCATACACAGGTATATGCACTTGTGCACACAAGCTTAAGTTTTTCTGCAGCACATGCAATATGTCTAAGGTTAAGTGGAGACTTCTTGCCACAGAAGAGTTTTGTGTGACTCAGAGTACAGGAAATGTTGTGACATATGTCCTCTCTGTCTGCAGCCTTTGAAGGTGGTGGACCCAGATCACCCCCTTGCCGCACTGGTCCGGAAAGCCCAGGCAGACAGCCCTGCACCTGCCCCACCCCCCGCAGATGGCGCAGCCCCTCAGCCCTCCCAAGTGGAGTACACCACTGACTGTGAGTACTCTGCTGTGTGCCTCTGGCCTGTAACTACACAGAGCTTAACCAGAAGGGTGCCACCATGGGTGTGAGGCAGGCAGGGCAATCTGGTAGAAGCACCACAAGCAGCTCAGGTCCCTTGGGTCTTGATGTTAAGTCATCTTTAGTGTGTGGCCTTGTCCTCTTGCTTGTCACCTAATGCTGGCAAAATGGCTGCTCCATCTCCAGCATCAGTTCTGCACTCCATAAAGGACAAAGAGGAAGATCAAGGGCAGAAAACAGGTACCATTGACTCTGCCTCTCTTCAGAGACCTCCCAGAAGCTGTGCCTGGTGACTTCCTTTAGCTCTCCTAGGCCAGGACAGGGACACATGGTCTTCCCATCTGCAGCAGAGGTTGGGAAATGGGCTTTCAGCTGGACACACTGCTGCCTAAACAAAATCAAAGATCTGTTAAGAGCAGGGAGAGTGGACATTGGTGGACATGCAGTAGTTCTGCCATGGTTGCTTTCTTAAAAAAGATAGCTTAAGATGGTGTATCCTGTGTGCCGGAGTCCAGCTCCAGCCGAGGTGTGGGTCACAAAGGAAAGGACAGCATCGGCAAGTGAGGAGATGAGTGAGGAGACGAAACACCCAGTTAAGGTTGTAATATCTCCTGACATCAAGCAGCAGGGTTTTTATTTTTATATCTTTTTAAGGTTTACATAATGTTATACATTTTCTTTGATCATGGGTGGTACAATGTTTTTTCCTTTCAATTTTTGTATAATTCCGGCTCATTACAAATGTTATCATTTTTTTGAACAGCTTTCTTGTAACATTTAATGTTTAACTTTCCCTTAACTTTTTTGGCCAGAGATGCAGGTTACGTGCTAGGTGCTAAACAGGAAATGGCATAAGACAGCGTGTGGGCTAAGTGTGTGGGCAATGATTTTTACTTATAAGCATGTAAAATTATATAGAGTTTAAGATATGTGTCTAAGGCTATATAAAGTTTAAGCAGGTTATATATAAATGCAAGCTATATGTCTTTTGGTTATTAAGTGTAATGCTATATTATTAATTAATTATTTAATTAATTATTAATTAAATCTTACCTTACACATGTGGGTTGAGGCTTACATCCAAAGTCTAGGGATGGTACTCTTATCACCTACAAGTTTTAACATTCTTCAACATTCCTTTGAATATAATAAAAACACCTTATCCTTTCATAATATTCATTCCACAATTTTAGATGTTTATACCTTTCCTTCTGTATTTACAGGCACTAGGGCCTTGCAGTCTACTTTAATCTTTCATATAATGACACTAAATCTGTTCTTACTACCTTACCATTAATATAATAATATTTTGTCATGAATTTATTATAAACTTCTATATATGGGATATTTATAAATGTAAGTCTTACTTATTTTGCTCATAAATTTTTTCTTCAAAGGGGATACTCTTCTAATATAAGCAACATAAAGGGGGCTGTGGGCAATGGGGACTATTAATCTTTATTACTTTGCTGTTTCATATAAATTTCTTGGAAAAATGGGTTTTTCTGTGGGGGTTTTTCTATGGCCCAGTTTACCATAACTCCTGGTTAATCATGTTCCAATTGTTACAAAAGGAAGAACAAACTGCATCTAGTTTTGAGAGGCCCGGGTTGTTCTGCCTCACTTATTTGTGGCAATATGCCTGGAACAGTTGGTCCTGTAATACTGCTTTCATTTCCGGAATTGCTGCTTTGATCAATATTTTGGGTTATATTATTTACTAAATATGAATAAATCTTAAATACATAAGATTTCCCATATATGAGCCCAATCACCAACATCATAACTGCAAAAATAAGTGCGGGAATTAGCAGGGGCCAGCTGTGAGGTTTCCTGTTTTCAGGATTCCTCCTCGTGCCTGGACCTTGTCAAACAGCATGAGCAGCATGGCCCGTGCCACCTGTGTACCTCAGAATTAGTTACAGTTCCGGTTATTCTGGCTGATGTCTGGTTCTGTGTCTTTTTACTTACTTAAAGATCATTACTAGAAGACAAATCTTGAAGTTACATTCAGGAAGTCATTTGGAAGTAGTTGACCTTGGTCTCATTTTCAGGTCTTACTGAAATTACCATATTCAGATGTTAACTGTTAGATGAGAGAAGGACCTTTAGCAAAGCTACAGGAAGTCATCTGTTCAGCCCACTTCACTTGGAAATGTGATACAGTGAGTCCATCATAAGCTTGTCACTTTCAGTCAGAGATCAGAAAACCAGCCTGAGATTAGTTCTCTTTTAAAATGTAGGCTGCTTGTTACTCAGGACCAAGCTATTGTTAAAAACCATCACCATGTCATTTTGTGCTTCCCTTGTAGCAGGGACATGCAGTGATGCGGAATTCTGATGTGCTAAATTAACATCTGGGGCTTAAAGCCCATTTTTTGAGTGAACTTAACACATGTGAACTAAAAAGCCTCTCAAAAGCACCTAGAATGAAAAGTACTCCCGGTGGGGATTTCTTTATAGACAGCCTACACTGGCAATCCAGGGGCCAGCAGTGCCCTGGAGGCCCTGCGCCCAGCTCACACAGTCCAGGGGGTAAGTTCACAGTGCATCATCTATCCAGCTTCCCTTTTCAACCTGTCATCGAATTACCATAAGTTAAATGCTATGTCCATGCATCTCCATGAGATTTTTAAAGCTAGTGAATTTTGTTTCATGGAAAGGAATAGAAATTTGGGAGTGGGGTGACCATCACTTAACTGCTCTGCTTATACACAGTTAAATACCGAGTTCAGTAATGGTGTGGTGTGTCTGCAGACCCTACAAGACTGGGCAGGAGAGGGGGCATAAGAAAGCCTACATGGGCAGGCCCAGTGTGACTGCTCTGTGACTCCAAAGAGTTTTACTCTGAGATGATGTGGTCTGATTGGTGACAATGGCCTGGGCCCAGTAACGGCATTGTGAAAGATCAGAGGCTGAAAAGGTTCCAGGAAACTCAAACAGGGGTCCTCTTACATGGTCCTACCAGGGGCCCCAAAAGGTGTGACAGCCCCTGCTCCTGGGAGAATCCTCTGCTTGTTCTGTGCAAACCCTGCCTCAGCCCAAAGGTGTGACCTCCTGGTTCCCTGCCTGACCCAGTGACCCCAATAAGAAGTGCTCCATCAGGGGGCAATTGTTAGTAGCCTTCCCCTCAAAGTGACAGTTTTGATGCTCTTGTCCATCACATGGTGTGTGTAGAACGGGGCTTTATGGACCATACCTGCTGTTAACAGCTTGGCCTGTGCTGCAGGCCAGCCTCATGTCTAGGCTGTCTGGCCCAACAGAGATGAAAAAGTCAGTGCTGACAACCTGTGGCTAATTAGATGTAAATTGTGGCCATACCAGAGGGCAAGGACCAAGTTCCAGGTGTGCCAAGACCATGAAATCCAGAACATTTGGGTGAAATATCTCCACCAATGTCAGCAACAGATTCACATTTTGTAAAAATACAAGGCAGTCCAACAGAACATATGGCAGACCGGGTGCTCCTCATGGGTGTCCACCCAAGCCCGGCTTCCGCTGTGGATGCAGGGGTCGGGGGTGCGGGCTGCAGCAGTCTCCATAGAGACAGTGCTCACTGCTGCCCGGAGACTAGAGCAGGACTCTAAAGCACCCTTTGGGTCTCCCTGTACATATAGGTCCCCAAAGGTGAGAACAGTGTCAGTAAAGTGGGGAGGACAGAGTTGGACTCCAGCCAGGTGAGAAGCCAGCAGGCAGTGCATCCCGGGACCTGGCTGCAAAGAGGGGCAGGGCCAGGCCCAGTGGAGAAAGCCTCCCCATGAGGGTCCCTCCATGAGCATCAGGGGGTTGCCACGTGATCCCTTCCCAGAACCCTGGGGTTGTAGTAGGAGAGGTGGCCTAATAGTTAGACAGGCAGCCCCACTGTCCCAAGGAGCCATGGGCTAGAGACTTGGGTCTGTTGCAGAATAACGCCTAAGTGGAAACTAGCACAAACAGGCATTCAGGTTCTCAGTGGTGTTTGCTTTTATCTATGGTTAGTCTCTGGTTATCTAAAAAAATAGCTAAAATAGGGAAATTTTGAAAAAGAGGAACAGTAAAGGAGATTTGCCCTTTGGAATAATAAAGGAAGGTGCTACAGTGGAAGACCACAGGGCCTAAGTAGCTGGTGGTTGGAAGAACGCTTGTTGAGTAGAGCAGCTCTAAACATGCTACAGATGACCGGAGATGCCTTTAACTTGAAACATGAAAGTGTTCTGCTGGCCCCTCTTGCTGTGGAGCCACGGCCTGCCTTCTGACAGCATCCTCACGGCAGCCACCTGGCAAGCTGCTCACTCCAGGCCGCAGGCTGGGAAGTGAGGTAGTACCAAGTCCCCAAGAGCAGATGCCGGGTTTGTGTTCTCTTATATCAAGGCGTTTATGCTTGTCTCTCCCTCTTCTAATTCCACATAGTTTTTTAAACATTTGGCTTTTTTTTTTTTTGCTATTATTAATGTATAATTACATGAGCAATATTATGGTTACTAGACTCCCCCTATTATCAAGTCCCCACCACATACCCCATTATAGTCACTGTCCATTATAAACATTTGGCTTTTTATCTGATCTTTCTAAAAGATTCAGTTTCATTTTCATAAAAACATTCTCTTTTCTCAGATTTCATCCATTTGCATAAATGTTAGTTATGTAATTGACAATAATTTAAAGTGGAAAAAATAGTTTAGAGAAAAACTCTGCTGGTAAAAGCAAAAAGGTCCAGCCTTCCAGCCTGCTTCATGTGTGGTCACCATGGTGCCAGCTTTTACCCAGCACAAAAACCAGGAAAGTCTTCAGATGGAAAGAATGAATGGGTACCCAGAGACAGAGTCACCCAGAGACACGTGCCTGCAGGGGACGCACGGCAGACTCAGGGAGAGGTATCTCTGAAACGGGGAGTTTAGAAAACAGGCCACATTAGAGCCTCACCTTTTTTATGCAGCAGCAAAATCACTTCTAGACTAAGTGCAGATGTTGCAGATGTAAGAATTCTGGGGGAAGTC